AAATGGGATCACTACTGTTGCAATGGCCTACACTTGAACCGTACTGGGACTGGTGTTATTGTGAACCACACAACTAGGGAAGTCGAGCAGGTTTTAAATGAAATGGTGGGGGCAACAGCCCAAACTTGGGAAGTTGTGAATCAATGGGAAAAATCCAGCAGAGGAAGAAATTAATGTGGGAAATGCTAAACAGACAATGACAGGAAGGGACAGAGAATTTAGATCCAAGAGTATATTGGATAAGATGAGAGGTTACAAAATAATCAAAGGACTAAACCTGTTGCACAGTACTTGAATGCATATTGCATTCAAAACAAATCTGATGAACTAGTATTACAAAGTGAGATGATTAAGTATGATCTAGTGGCTGTAACTGAAATGTGGCTGCAGGGTGACCTAGACTGGGATCTGAAATTCCAAGTGTATGTACCATTTAGGAAGTACAGGAAGCCAGGAATGAGTGGAGGAGTGGCTCTGTTAATTAAAGATATTAGCACAATAGAGAAGGATGGCCTTAATTCAGGAAACCAGGATATCGAAGCAGTCTGGGTGGAGATGAGGAATGAAAAAGCCAAGGGGTCAATTGTGGGAATTTTTACAGGCCTCTAAACAGTGTCCACACGGTAAGACAGAATATCAAGGAAGAAATAACAGCAGCCTGTCAAAAGGGTGCAGCAATTATCATGGGTTTTAATGTACATAGATTGGAGAAATCAGACTTTTTGTCTTCTCTCGAAGACAAATGCATTGCATGTTTTTGGAATGGTTTCTTAGACCAGCATATGATGGTAACAACCAGAGAGCAGGTTACACTAAACCTTGTTTTGACCAATGAGCTGAGATCAATTACTGACCTTGTAGTGAAAGCGCCCCTAGGTAGCAGCAACCATAATGTGATTTAATTTCTCATATAGTTTAATGGTGAGAAGAGTGGGTCGAAGGCTACTAATTTGAATTTAAAACAGCACGTTTAAGAGGGCATGAGAGCAGAGCTGGTGAAAATGAAATGGCAATTTAGGTTAGGTCAATAGTGAAGCAGCGGCAAACGTTTGAGGGAATATTCCAGAAAGCACAGTAGATATATTCTAACCAATGAGAAGTTCTCCGGGATGAACCTGCCATTTGTTGTTAAATATAAAAAAAAAAATCATATCAAATTCAAAGAAAAGACATATAATTGTACACAGGTGGCAGATCAGAAGATCTGCCGATGTAAAATATAGCCAAGAACTACGCCAAAGTGAATAAGGAGGCATAGATTAAAGTATGAGGGAAAGATAGCCAAAAGTATAAAAAGATACAAAATGTTCAGATATTAAAAGAAAATAATTAACAAAGTAAGTGTTGGTCCTCTGGAAAATGAATCTGGGGAATTAATAATTGAAAATAAGAGATGACTGATAAATTAGAATAGGTATTTTGTCAGTCTTCACTGGAGAGCATCCTGGTTTTATGGAGAAATTGAAGAGGCATAGGGTTTAGAACAGGGAAGTTATGCTGGAACTGTATAAAACTTTGGTTAGGCTATAGCTGGAGTATTGTGTGTAGTTCTGGAGTCCATGTTATAGGAGCAATGTGACTGGAAAGGGTGCAGAGGAGATTTACCAGTTTGTTGTCTGGGCTGGACGGTTTCAGTTGTGAAGAGAAATTGGTTAGACTGGGGTTGTTTTCCTTAGAGCAGAGGAGATTGAGAGAGGACTTGATTGAAGTCTATAAAATCAAGGCTTTCACAGGAAGAAACTTTTCTTTTTGATGGAAGGATCATTGACTGCAGGCATAGATTTTATGGTAAGTGTTAGAAGGCTTAGAGGAAAAACCTATTCACCAAGGGTGAAGGAGATCTGCAACTCAGCCTGTAAGGATGGTAGAAGTAGAAACCCTCAACATTTTAAGTATTTGGATGTGAACATCCAAACCAAGGAATTCAAGGCCTTGTGCCAAGTGCTGGAAAATAGGATTAGAATAGTTAAGTGCTTGTTTTTGACCGGTGCGAACACAGTGGGCCAAAGGACCTTTCTCCTTGCCATAGATCTCTGACTCCGTGGTAGAACCCTGGAAATAGCTATAAACCAGTAATTGTCTGGGAGGGAGGAACTCGAGACAAATACCAGGGAAGTAATACTGTGTAATTTTGGAACTGAGAATTGACCAGTCCCCAGATCGTGATGGATTTCATCCTAGGGTCTTAAAAGAAGTAGCCAGTGGGATAGTTGATGCATTGGTTTTAATTTAGCAAAACTCATTAGATTCAGTGAATGTGCCTTCAGTTTGGCAAATAGCAAATATAACTCCTTTATTCAAAAAGGGAGAGGGGCAGACAGCAGAAACTACATGCTACTAGTCTTATTATTGAAGACATTATAACATGGTACTTGGATAAGTTCAAGATAAGCAGGTAGAGCCAACACTGTTTTGTAAAGGGAAATCACGTTCCAACTAATTTGGAGTTCTTTGAGGCACCTTGTACTGTCGATAAAGGAGAACCTGTATTGTACATAGATTTCCAGAAGGTAATAAGGTGCTACATCAAAAGGTATTTTGGAAAAAAAAGCTCATAGTGTAGGGAGTAATATATTTGCAGAGATTGAAGATTGGCTGGGTAACAGGGAATAGAGAGTAGGAATAAATGAGTCTTTCAGTCTAGCTGGATATCATAAGTGATGTGCCAAAAAGGTTGGTGCTGAGACTTCAACTTTTTACAATTCATATAAATGATTTGGATGGAGGGACTGAAGGAATTTGCTGATGATGCCAAAATAGGTAGGGAAGTGATTTGTGAAGAGGTCATGAGTCTACAAACCTACTAGCAAATGATGTACAAAGGAAGTACAATGTGGGAAAGTGTGAAATAACAGTGAGAGGATCTGAATGTCAGAATGCATGAATCGCAGCTGGCTAGTATACAGGTACAGCAAGCAATCAGACAAGGTAATTGAACGTTAACGTTTATAGTGAGGGGAATTGAATGCAGGTGTAGGAGGTTATGTTTTAGTTATACATGCATTGGTGAGACTGCATTTGGAGTACTGTATACCGTACTGGTCATTATACAGTACTGGTCATAGAAAAATGTTGATGCACTGGAAGCAGTTCAGAAGGTTTACTAGACAAATAACCTGCAATGAGCAGATTGCCTTAGGAAAAGCTAGACAGACTTAGCCTGTATCCCTGGAGTTCAGAAGAGCCAGAGCTGACATAATTGAAAGATGTAAGATCCTGTGTTGACTTGATTAGGTGGATGTCGAAAGGATGTACCCTCCTTTGGGAGAATCTAGAAATAGGGGTCATAGTTTAAAAATAAGAGGTCAGCCATTTAAGATGTAGATGAGGAAGCATTTTTCCTTAGGGTTGAGAGACAATGGAATTCCCTTCCTCCAAAAGGCTGTAGTTGTGAGGTCTTTAAATATTTTTAATGCAGAGGTGGATAAATTCTTCATTATCAAGGGGCTGAAAGATTATTGGGGTTTGCAGGAATGTAGAAATGAGGTTAAAATCAAATCAGCCATTGTCTTATTGAGTGGCGGCGCAGGCTGAAAGGGCTAAATGGCCTATTGTTGTACCTAGTTCATACATACTTCTACACAATAACTTGCCATTATATAGCCTTATTGACACACTACAATTGTGAAACACCAAATTCAGATAGTTCGAAACTCCAGTGTTGGCAAAGCCGCTGGCCTTTCCTGCTTGCAAATTAAGAAATCCAATAGATGGATACCAACGCTAAACTGAAGTTTCGGATTGGTAACTCTCTAGGTTAGCCAAACTTGTACGTACATGTCATATGAGCATGCCAACCAGTTGGAGCAGAATTAGTCCACACTAGTGTGAGAAATTACAGGGCAAGCCTGCAGCAGTGCCTGCAAAAATAGCCTCGCCCATATCCTGAATGATTATGCACCAATAGACATTTTTAACATGGATAAAATTGACTGTCTTACTATTTTTTACTAAATCTTTCTTCAATATATCAAGATGAAATGTGACATGCTTTGGTCTGTGCCAACATGAATGACAAGCAAAAAGCTGCTGTTTCATTTGTTCGGAAAGTCCACGAAGCTAAGTTGCTTTGTGAAAGTTAAGGCACTACTCGCGTGACATAAGGCAAACCAAACTACTTGGCAAGCCTCCACATTTTTTTGAGACGTGGGTCAAGCAAGTGGACAAATTAGTATCAACAGAATAAAAGGTAGACCTTCGGCCTAGTGAGCCTGAAGTGTTTGAATGCCCTCCTGCTCACTTGCCTGTTTCCCTGGCTGAAGCTGCAAATGGGGAAAAGATGCTCCCTCGTTTCCCATTGAAGCATAAAACACATTTGACTGCCTTAATAAAATGGCAGGCTGTTTTGTTCTATTCTGAAAGCAGCACACTAAACAAAAACATTACTGAGCTTTCCCAGAGCTATCTCCTCATGTTTTTCAATACCTTTTATTGTACAAGGACCGGCCTTTGTGATGTGTGAACAAATTGTTGTTTTTTTACCGTGTCACTGTTTTCATTGCTCTTCATGTACATTTCTAAACAAATAGTTATGTAGGGGCTGTCTCAGCACTCTGCTTAACACAGATTTGGGGGTGAGCCCTCGGCGATCAAATTTGATGATGTAGGCATTTCACAAGGTGTAAGGAGAAGAGGGACAACCGGTTTAGATTGCCATTGCCTTAGCCTTGCAATTGGCAGATGTGCCATCAGCAATGTGAAGTTGCTTAAGGTGTTAGAATTATTAGGTCATCTGACAGGATGGAGTTATGAAGATGTGATGGAACAAGGACACCTACTAAGGAGGGTAGTTTCTCTCTTTCTGGCCACTTATCTGTTGATCTGTCAGCCTTCGGCATTCAAGGCTCTAACCTTTTATATTGTTAGCACTTAATTGTTTTTCACTATTCCATTTTGAGCTAAGCTAATGTTAAATTGATGCTGATAATTATGGTCATTATCAGCGTCCTTTCTTAGTAACATTATTGCAGCACTTGTCATACAAACTTTCTATTTTGCAGGCTATTCATTCCGTGGCTTGGCATCATGAAGGAAAACAGTTTGTTTGCAGCCATTCAGATGGTAGCCTTACTACCTGGAATGTAAAATCTCCCATTAGACCCGCACAAATTATTACACCACATGGTAGGTATGAACTTGTTTGTATGGTCTTAAAGTCTATGACATAAAACGTGGAACACAAGGTAGGCATTTGGTCCAGTGCATCTGTACCAGCTAAGGAAAATCCATTTGGCCTAATCCCATTTTGCAGTTCAGGTCCATAGCCCTCTAGGTTGAGGCAAGTGACTTTGAATCTAGCAAGGATGTCTTTGTCTATAACCCTTTCTGATGCTGAGTTCGAGGCTCACAACACACTCTAGTTAAAGGAATTTTCCTGTACCTCTAATCCATATACTCCCTTGTTATTGACCTTTTGTGCTGTCGGTGATAGTTACATAGGGATGTAAAGAATAGGAGCAGGAATAGGCCATTCAGCCATTCGACACTGTGCCACTATTCCATATGATCATGACTGATCATTCAACTCAGTAACCTGTTCCTGCTTTTCCCCATATCCTTTAATTCCTTTAGTCCCAAGTCCTGTATTCAACTCCTCCTCGAAATTATATGGTTTGGCCTTGATTGCTTTTGCTCACTACTCTCTCGGCGAAGAAATTTCTCCTCATCTCAGTCCTAAATGGTTTTCTCTGCATCCTTGTAATTCTCTGTGATCCTTGTTCTGGACTCCTCTGTCATCAGGAACATCCTTCCTGCAGCTACCCTGTATTGTCCTTTTTAGAATTTTGTAGGTTTCTATGAAATTCCCCACCACTGCCCCATTCTTCTGAGCTCTTGTGAATATAATAGCCAATTCAACCTCTTCACACATGTCCATCCTGCTATCTCAATTTGGTAAACCTTTGCTGCATTCCTTCTTTAGCAAGGACATCCTTCCTCCGATAAGGGGACCAAAGCTGCACACAGCGCCCCAGGTGTTTTCATGCCACACCACCCTGTAAAATGGCAGTAAGACATCACTGTTCCTGTTCTTGATCTCTCACTATGCAGGTCACCATACTATTTTGTGCCTTGACCATCTGCTGTACCTCCATCCATGCCTTCAGCGACAGGCGTACTGGGACATACAGGCCTCATTGCACGTTCCCTTCTCTCAATTTGTAGCTATTCGGCTAGTAATTTGCCTTTCTGCTTTTGCTATCAAATTTTGTCATTTATCCATATAATACTGCATCTGCTATGTGTTTGCTTGCTCTCCACAGCTGGTCCAAACCATATTGAATCATCTCTGCAACCTGCTCTTGCTCCCACCCAGCTTTGAATCATTTGTGAGCTTGGAGATAATGATTTACTTCATGGAACTAAATGTATTAACATATATTGTGAAAAGCTGGGCTCCTTGTGCTGATCCCTGCTGTACTCCACTGGCCACTGCCTGCTGTTTGGAAGAAGATCCATTTATTCCTACACATTGTTTCCTGTCTACCATCCAGTTTTCTACCCATCACTATACAGTACCCCAGTCCCTTGTCCTTTAATTTTACACGTTAATCTCTGATCTGGGATTTTGTCAAATGCCTTCTGAAAGTCCAAATAGACCACATCCACTGGCTCTCCCTCATCAACTCTAACTAGTTACATCCTCAAAGAATTTCAGTAGATTTGTCAAGCATGATTTCCCTTTGTCAAATGCTTAGCAGTGAAATCTTTTATAATGGACTTGAGCATTTTTACCACTCCTGACATGATTGGTCTATAATTCCCAGTTTTCTCTCTCTACCTCTCTTCTTAAGTAGAGGGGTTACATTAGCTACCCTCCAATCTGAAGGAACTGTCCCAGGGCCTATGAGTCTTGAAAGATAACCATCAATGTATGCACTATCTCTTCCTTAAGTACTCTGGGGTGTGGGTTATCAGGGCCTGGAGATTTATCCGCCTTCAATCTCATCGATTTTCCCCAATGCTGTTTCCCTACCAATACCGATTTCTTTCACTGAACGCTGTGTTGCCCAACATTTCTGATATGTTATTTGTGTCCTCCTTTGTGGACATAATCAAAGTATATATTTGATTGGTTAGCCATTTCTTTGTTCCCCATTATGAATTCCCCTGTTTCTGACTGTAAGGAACCCACATTTGTCTTCGATAATCTTTTTTTTTTCTCTTCACACATCTGTAGACAGTCATTTCTGATATTCCCCACAAGCTTGCTTACTCTATTTTCCCTTTCTTAATCAATGCCTTGGTGCTCCTTTGCTGAATTCTAAACTAATCCTATTGCTCAGATCTGTTGTTTCTTTCTTGTCAATTTGTATGCCTCTGCTTGGATATAATAATAACTCTAATTTCCCTTGTAAACTGTTGTTTGGCTATTTTTTCTTTTGCGCAGATAGGAATGAGCAATTGTTGCAGTTTACCGACACACTCTCTGAACATTGGCAGTTGCCTATCCACTCATCCATTTAAGTAACATTCTGCAATCCATCATAGCTAGTGCACACCTTATAATGTTGTAGTTTCCTTTATTTAGATTCAGGATCCTAGTCTCTGAATCAGCTATGTCACTGTTTTATCTTGATGAAGAATTCTATCATATTATGGTCATTCATCTGAAAGAAACCTTGCACATCTAGATTGCCAATTACTCCTTTCTCATTACACAATAATCAGTCCAGAATGAATGGCCTGTTCTGCAGTTAGTTCCTCAGCATATTGGTGCTGAAAACCATCTTGTATATTCTCCAGGAATTCTTCCTCCTAATTTGATTTACTCAATCTCTAGACGCAGATTTAAAGTCACCCATAATTGCAAATGTTCCTTTATTGCAAACCTGTCTAACTTCCTGTTTAATGCCTTTTCCCAACATTATCCCTACAGCCTGGGAGTTTATACACAACCCCCACTAATGTTTTCTACCCCTTGGTCTGTCTCAGCTCTACCCAAGCAGATACTCGTACAGTTCTTCCCATCCACTCTATGTAGGCACCTCATAATTTTACGCACCTTCTGATTCGATTCCCAGTCAGGGAATACAAGTTCTATTAGGGGCGGCACCGTGCCTCTGGTTAGCACTGCTGCCTCACAGCACCTGGGCCCAGGTTTGATTCCACTCTCGGGCGACTGTCTGTGTGGAGTTTGCACGTTCTCCGCGTGTCTGCATAGGTTTCCACCAAGTATTCCGGTTTCCTTCCACAGTCCAAAGATGTGCAGGCTAGGTGGACTGGCCATGCTAAATTGCCCATGGTGTTCAGGGATGTATAGATTAGGTGGGTTATAGGGGGATTGGTCTGGGTGGGGTGTTCTGATAGTCCGTGTGGACTTGTTGGGCTGAAGGGCCTGTTTTCACACTGGGGATTCTAAGTCTAAATCTCCCCTTCGCCTTGTTCCAAAGAGCAGAACCTCGGCCAATGCAGTCTTTCCTCATAGCTAAGGTTCTACACATCTGACAAGACCCTTGTATCTTTTCTTGTGATCGCACTCTCCTTGTAATTTGGTGCTCAGAAACCTACACGATTCTCTACCTGTGACTTAAATAGTATTTTATATAGTTTTTTTTTTAATTCATTCATGGGATGAGGGCATCACTAGTCAGGCCAATATTTATTGACCATTCTAATTGCCCATCAGTTAAGACATTGCTGTAGATCTGGAGCCACATGTAGGCCACACCTGGTACGTATGGCAGAATCCTTCCCTAAAGGATGTTAGTGAACCAAACGGGTTTTTCTAACAATTGACAATGGATTTATTGTCATCACTCGACTCTTAATTCAGATTGTTTTTTTAAATTGAATTCAAATTCCATGATCTGCTGTGGCAGTCTTTGTACGTGGGTTCCCAAATTAACAGTCTGGTGATAATACCACTAGACTGTCACCTCCCCACAAGGTTTTTCTCATCACCACCTCCTACGACCGTCATGTTCTTATTATTTTATACCTTTATAGTACTAAAAGATTAGTACCTTGTTTATATTCTTAACCACCTTATACATCTGTCCTGCTACCTTTAAACTCCTATGGGCACAATCAAAGGTCCCTCTGTTCCTCAACATCTAATATTGTTTGAATTAAGAGGTGAGAGTGAGCCCTTGACACGAAGACTGCATTCGACTGCATGTGGCATTAAGGAGCCTTAGCAAAACTGGAATCAGTGGATAACGGGAGCAAACTCTTCTGATTGGAGTTGTACTTGGGACATAGGAATATGGCTGTGGTAGTTGGAGGTCAGTCATCTGAGCTCCAGGATATCTCTGCAGAAGTTCCTTGAGGCCCAGGCCCAGCCATCTTCAGCTGTTTCATCAATAACCTCCATAATTCCCTCCATCATAAAATCAGAAGTAGAGATGTTTGCTGTTGATTGCACAATATTCAGCACTATTTGCGACTCCTCGGATACTGACACAGTCCATGTTCAAATGCAGCAAGGTTTGGATAATATGCAGGCTTGGGCTGACAAATAGCAACATTCAAGCCATACAAATGCCAAGCAATGACCATGTCCAATAAGACACAATCTAATCATACTGTACCATGACATTTGATGGTGTTACCATCACTGAGTACCTAGTTATCAACATCCGGGGGGTTGCCATTGTTTACATGGTGAATCCAATTGAGTTTCTGGTCAGTGTGGCTGCAAGAGCAGGTCAGATGTTCGGACTACTGCATCAAGTAACTCACCACCTGACTGTCCAGAGCCTGTGTAGAATCTACAAGGCATAAATCAAAACTGTGATGGAATACTCCCTACTTGCCTGGACCCTGCAGCTCCAACAACACTCAAGAAGCTTGATCACTGTTCAGGACAAAGCTGCCTGGTGAAATAGCCGCACATCCGCAAGCATCCGTTCCAACGTCTTCCAACACTCTGGTAGCAGCAGTGTGTACTATCTACAAGATGTGCTGCAGAAATTCATCAAAGATCCTTAGATAGCAACTTCCAAACACATGATCACTTCCGTTTAGAAGGATAAGGGCAACAGATACATGGGAACACCACCGCTTGCAAGTTCCTGTCCAAGACACTCACGATCCTAAATTGGAAATATATCGCTGTTCCTTCACTGTTACTGGGTCAAAATCGTGGAATTCCCTCCCTAAGGACATTGTGGGTCTGCATACAGCAGATGGACTGCAGCACTTCAAGAAGGCAGCTTGCCACCACCTTCGTCAGGGCAACTAGGGATGTGCAATAAATGCTGGCCAGCCAGTGATGCCCATATCCCATGAGTGAATCTATTTTTAAAAAAAAATGTGTAGTAAAGAATTATGGAATTCAAGTATTGTTGGATATGACACAACTTTGTCAAAGCTTCTCGTCTTGCGCTTATTGTGTCAATTTGCAAGAAGTACCAAAGTTAAGGGGAAGACAATATTTATACCGTTTAAGGGGAGGGTACTGCCTTGACCAATCGATCAACCTGCCTGGTTTAACATGAAAACACCACCTGACGGTTAGTGAGCCATCATTAACGTGTGCAATCCCCTCAAAATCAGAGCCCACTTGCCAACTAATCAGCGCTCTCGTCTGACATGCTATAAATGTTATTCTCCCTTTCTTTGGTATTTCTTGCGAATTGTCTAGATGAGTGCAAGACAACAATCATAAATGTTGCAGTACAGAAAAGTGCCTTCAGTCCATCAGGTTAAGGTCACCATAATTCTGTCAGACCATTGGGTCATTCAAGAGAGATGAATGGTGGTGGTGAGTGTTAAGAAGGCCTTTTATGGTAACCTAAGCAAGTATGAGAATTGGCATCATTCTGCATCATGGCAAACTAGCCATCCAGCCAACTCAGCTCACCAACGCTTTTCCAGCTGTACTTAAAATCTGAACTACTACTGACTAATTATTGAATTGTTACAATTAAGGAGAGTGAACAGCCTCTCGTATCTTTACCAGCTCTGTGAAAATAACTCATCCAGTCTTTCTTGCCTGCTTATTTCCTCTAACCTTACAATTTTTTTTCTCATCACTTATCAAATTTCATGTTGAAAGCCATGCCTGAAGCTGCTTCCTTCACAATTGTGCAGTGCATTCCAGTTTCAGACCACTCCCTGCATAATAATTATTTCTTCATCTTCATATCTTTTGTTCTTTTTGCAGATCATTTTAAACTGACATTTTCCTGTTCTTTACCCTTCCACCAATGGGAGTGGTTACGCTTTTTGTCTTTTCCATCTGAGCACCTCATGGTTTTGAATGTCTCAATCAAATTACCCATCAAGCTTTGAAGGAGAAACAATTCAACTTCTCCAGCTATCTGCATAACTGAAGTGTGTCATCCCCTTTTCTGTCATAACCTTTTCTGTACCCTCTCCTTGCCATCCTAGCCTCAAAGTCTGGTGCCCAGAATTGAATGATACTCCATTTGAGGCTGAAGTAGTGTTTATCAAGAAGATCCACCATAACTTTGTTGTTCTGAAACTCTGTTCCTCAAATTATAAAATCCAAGATCCTGTATTCCCTTGTGGTGTTTGTCCTTCTGAAATGCATCATCATTTTCTTTTTTTGAATTGAATTTCATTTGCCCTTTCCTGCCCACCTGTGTAGACTATTGATATCTTGCAGCAAACTACAGCTTTCTTCTGTAATATCAACCAGCTGATCAGATTTTTGTATTTTCAAACTTTTTAATTATACTCTGTGTTTAAGAGTAAGTCATCGGTGCATACCACAGAAATCAAATCAGCATTCCAGTCGCAAACACCTGGCTTGTAATTGTTCATATTGTCATAGAATCCCTACAGTGGGGAAGCAGGCCACTCAGCCCATCAAGTCCACAGTGCTGAAGAGCATCCCAACCAGATCCCCACCCCAACCCTATTCTTGTAACCCAGCATTTTCCATGGCTAATCCATCTAGCCTGCAATTCCCTAGACATTGGGCAATTCAGCATGGCCGATCCACTTACCCTGCACAACTGTGGACTGTGGGAGGAAACCCACACAGACACACGGAGAATGTGTAAATTCCACACAGTTGCCTGGGGGTGGAATCAAACTCTAGTCCCTGCTGCTACTGTGAGGCAGCCGTACTAACCACTGAGCCACTGTGCTGCGCTTAGACTGTTCAGTCTATCCCTTACTGCTTTAAAGAAAGGTATAATGTCAACAGTCCTCTATCTTCATACTTCTAACCAAATTAGATTGAGAAACGGTGGTCATAGTGCCCACTGTTTCCTCCTTTTAATGCTTTTGACAGCAGAGGTTACATTTGATCCAAGCGTGACTACTTCTGTACTCAAAGAAACCAAGTACCCTTTAATATTTCCCCCTTCATGATGTGTAGGTCATCAATATTTCTCACTTCTCCCTAACCACAATATCTCTGTTTTCCCCCTCTTTTGTGAAGACAGGTACACATTATTCAATGACTGCCATTCTTCATCCAATGTTTTCTGCCTCAATGCTCAATTTTATTTTTGATCTCTTGTATGCCTTGCTCTGTTATAAAACCTCCAACTCATTTAAAGAACTGTTGCTGAAAGCCTCAATTTAAACCATAAACCGTAATCTGAGATTGAATGTGTTTATTGCCTCTCTACACCTGTTGGTTTGTTTTTGTAACAGTGAGAATGTTTAGTAAATGTTCTTGTAGTTTACAGCTTGTTGTGTTTCTGTTTTTGAACTGCATATGTATTTCTGCTTGTGTGGACTATAATCTAGCCTAGAATGTCTTCCTGTTCTTCCAAAGCCTAATTTAGCTGATGATGCAGAGCAAACTTTGGGCATGACTTGATAGAAAACAGCAATTCCTTGCCTACAGCAAGTTATCTTGTGTTGTCAAATCCAGGAAACGATGCTTGATGAAAGCATGCTTATCACTTTTTACAGATTATCTCCAAAAGGAGCTACCTCCCAAATGCATTGGCCAGATACTGGATAAATGGAATGAACTAAAACTTCCCTCAATGGGTTCGACCCAGCTGGGAAGTCAGACAAAGAAGTTCATTTCAATTCCTGATTTGTTAAACTCTGTTTAATAGTTCTTTGAAGTCTTGAGCCTAAACAAAATGAACAGCTTCCCCGGTGGAGTTAAATCCTCCTTAGCAAGGAAGAATGACCAAATACTTCACAGTAGCATGAGCTCTGCATATTTTTGCCCAAGAGCATAGTATTTTCATGTGCACATTGAATTCGGAGAGCAGGCTGAACTAATAAGCTCTACGCTTAATCAAATACTTGCTTTCAGGGAAGCTGCCAAAAGATGGGAAGAAAGCAGAGCCTTGCAAACCTATCCTCAAAGTGGAATATAGAACCTGTAAATCTGGGTATGTGTTGAGTCCTTTCTCTCAAAATATTTGTGTTCTGTTCTTTGAAATGTTGATGCTGGAGAAAGGTAGGAGTTTTCCATTTTATCTCCTTACAAATATTGAATGCCATTGGAACCTCCAAAGTGGCAAAAATTCATTGGTGCAGCACCTTTAGATCCTTGGGAATTTGTCAAAATCCACATTGACTTTGTGGGAAAATCTAAAGTTAAGAATTAAATATTTGACACATACTTTTAAGTCAATAAACATTAAATAATTTTTTGTCTCTTGTTTCTCCTTGCCATCTCTTTAAAAGATGTAGAGCACAGTGTGTGTCCTTGTGTAAAGCCAATCACATGGAGAAGAAATTCAGATTTTTAATTTATCCTACAACTCTAAATAGGGTGAGCGCTATTCACTATGTTGGAGTACAACGTTCACATTCTGGGGGTTACCATTGAGCAAAAGTTTAATTGGAGCAGCCATATAAATATTGAGTTGGGGTTGAGAGCATAGAATCTCTACAGTGTGGAAGCAGGCCAATTGGCCCATCGAGACTACACCAACCCTCCAAAGCACACCCCACTCGGACCCAACCCACTACTCTGTCACTGGAACCCTGCATTTTCCATGGCTAATCACCTAGCCTGTACATCCTTGAACGTTTTCGGCAATTTAGCATGGCCAATCCACTTAACCTGCACACCTTTGAACTGTGGGAGGAAACCGGAGGAAATGCACGCAAACAAGGAGAATGTGCAAACTGCGCGCAGTTGCCCAAGGCTGGAATCGAACCCAGGTCCTTGGCACTGAGGCAGCAGCACTAGCCACTGAACCATTGTGCTGCTCGGAGGATGAAATCATCCTTGATCCTATTTAGTGGTGGAGCAGGTTTGAGGAGCTGAATTGCTTACTCCTGCACCTAGTTCTTTGTGTTCTTGTGTAAAGGAAAATCATACAGTAGATGGGGCCTCCACTGCTACTCCCCTGGTGGGTAATGGAAAATGTCCAGAATGATGTGTACTGTAATTCGTAGTGGTTGAAAATTTTGGAATGAGTTGGAGGTAGTAAGGTGGAGTTGGGAGGCCAGTATGTTGGACAAGTCGTGTCGAGAAGTAACAAACATGATAAATTTCAGTGAAGGAGAAGGAGAGGCTAAGTTCAGGACAGTGATGAATGATATTTTGGTAGCAAAGACAGGCAACGGTGAGTTTGGTTCAGTTCATGGGTCTAAGTAGTAAACTCAGTTTATGCACTATTGGCTTGAACTGAAGTAGTCATATCAAATGAAATGCAGTTAGGATACTTCTGGGTGAGTGCTTTTTTTTTTAAAAAAAAGAACGTGGCCTTGTATGCTAGTCTGAGTAATTCAGTCATCCACAACTTTGTAAATCATCTGGCACACCACAAGTCCCAGCGGAAGTGCTAGAGATGATGCTTGGTATCCTTAACATACAAGTGGTTGTAAAATCCCATTTATAGGCAATGACAACAAGGGTGTAATTTATAATTGGGGGAAATGAGAAATTAAGCTTAGGAAGGTTAGCAATGTTTGTGAGAAATAGTGGATATACTATTGAAGGAGACATACTATGGTCCATAATTATAATGGTCACTAATAAGGAATTTAGAAACATTCCTTTGCACAGAGCATAGTTAGGATGTTCACCTTGCAACTATGTAAGAGTAGTCGAGACAAAGCATGGATGTAGAAGGTGTAATGGCAAACAGGGTGAGTACATGAAGGAGAAAAAAATAACGGAAGGATGAAGAATATTGAAAGGGTGCAATGAAGTATAGTGGGAAAAGTGGAAAGGTTCTCAAAATCTCACCATGTTTCCACTTCTCCTATAGTTGGTCCTTAAAACCTACCTCTTACAAAGCCATTTGTTATTGGTGCTGAAGTATCTCCTCCTTTGATTTGCTGTTAGTTTTTGTTTGATTACAGACCTGTGAGGCATCTTGAGAAGGCTTCCAGCATGAAACCTGCTGTATAAATGCACATTGCTGCTGTTCCTGTTTTATGACTCTAAATAACTGCACAGAATGTACAAGATAGCAGGAAAATATCCTGTTCGACCTGCTGTAAATTCCACCTTAAATATTCCCTGCAGATTGTCTCTGTCTCTGCACTGACCAATAACAGTTGGAATAAAATTAATGAGAAAACAGATACCAGTAACTAGAGAAAACAAAAACCGAAATTGCTGGAAAAGCTCAAGATCTGGAAGCATTTGTGGAGAGAAATCAGTTAATGTTTTGGGTCCAGTGACCCTTCCTTAGAACTGGTATCTGGTGTGTTTTTAACTTGTCTACAGAGATCTAACTATACATTTAATAATGTTCCAAAATCGACTTTTTTTAAATGTTGCACGACCACTTAAAGGCATTTACATAACATGGGTCAAATTTTATGAACTCAATGATTTTTGTAGAAGGAGTTTTCATTTAAGTTTGTGAGGAAATTGATAAGTTAATTACTACAAAAAATACTTGGGCATTTTTGCTCTTTGTGAGATTGCATCAAGGTTTATTCTATGACTTTGCCCAATGTTTGTTATGAAAGATGGACATTCCCAGTAGCCATAAGCTACTAGCACTGAAGTATTAGTTTGTGTTTCATGGTTTCTTATCATTTCAGTAAGTAAAATCAATTCTTAATCGTGTGCTTTTTTTTTCCTGACTTTTTTTCTGCATCCAGAGATCCTTTCATCATTTTCTCAGGAGGTCTGTCCTATGATACTGTAGGCAGAAGACCGTGCTTGACTGTGATGCATGGGAAGACCACTGCAGTACTTGAGATGGACTACCCAATTGTCGATTTTCTCACCCTGTGTGAAACGCCATATCCTAGCGGTAGGCTTATGTAGTTAACTTGTTTGTATCATTGTAGCAACTTTGCATTCTGGTTCTCTTCCCACAACTGAAATAAAAAATCATATTTGTACTTGGTTTTTAATGGGCATTACTAACCTGTTGCAACTGAATCTGAATTTGTGGCACATTCGAAAGACAAAGTACTCTCATAGAAAAGCAAAGGACTTTGGTTCATAATGTGCTTCGTGGCCTGAGGATGTTCCAAAGTACTGCACAACCAATACATAGTTTAGATGTGTTACCACTGTGGCAGTGTAGGGAATTCAGGAGTCACTACACACCAGTACCTTGACAGGAATGAGATCAATGAACTGCTAATCTCATTTTAGTAATCTTGATTGAGGGGTAAATATTGATGGTACCAAAGAACTCCTGTATTCTTCAGCCATGTCATTTGGATCTTTCACGTTCAGTTGAGGAAGCATGTGGACTTTGGTTTAACACCCCAATAGAAAGATCACACCTCTGTCAAGCAGCACTCCCTCAATAATGCACTGGGTGCCAATCTGCCATAGATCTTACCATGTAAATTGGTTGTTGAAGCCTCAAAAATTTCCTTGCTGACAGGGATGTCTTGTACCCCAAGTGTAAAAATTAGCTCCCAATTTGGGTGTCTGCCACACATAGTCTGTTGTGTCTGGATATGTCTCAAACTTCTTTGCATCATTGCAGCACAAACTGTTTCCTCCCTTGCATCCAAGTAAAAGGTGCTGGTAAATAAAACTTGAATTTGTGGGCTAAGTGGTTGAAGATGATGTGTAGAGCATACTGTGGCTGAAAAGGTGACGTAGAGGGAAGTGTTTACTTTGAATATGTGTTAAAGCATGATTATTTTAGGATTCTGTTAAATGGTGAGCTGACTAGTACACCGCAATCTACAGTAGATTATATGTTGAAGTCTCTGGAATAGGTCAGACACCCGTGGCCTCTGACTCAAAAGTAGCTGCCCTACCACTGAGCCACAGCTGACTTCCTTATATTAAAAAAAACATGAAACTCTATCTGAGATTATTTATTGCAACAAACCATTCTCTTCAGGTGATTTTCTAGTTTCATTGCAATTTATTCGTTGTGATTAGTTTTGAAGCAAAGGAGAGAAACAAATTCCATAAACCACGCACAGTAGCACTAATGACAATGCTATAAGTGGAACTATCATCCAATGAAACAATGCAAGCAGCGTGTTCTGGTCTAAGTTGATGTGGTTGCTAATTCTGCAATTCTTGCCCTTAAATGGGTAGAATTACAACCGTGAAAATTGTTATGGGCAGCTAATGTCTGTACGTATATTTGCAAACAGTATGTTCCCAGCTGTTTCTATAGAGAGTGCCTTTCGCCATGGGTTGTAGCCACTGGAGTGTGATGCATTTCTGATGTAATTCCCCAGATGCGAAGAAGCTGACAGTTTCTGAAAATGGCAGAAAACATTTTTTTGACCATTGGTACCCATGTTGAGAAATAGCTATCAGGCTTTTTTTAAAAAAAAAAAAAAAAATGAATTCAATTTAAAAGCAAAAAATAATTGGGACTTTGTGCACAGATAACTGACAGTACCCTTGAATATTGTTTCCATCTACCTTCTGGATGAACATGCATTTCTTTTCCTGTATTCTGAACAGGGCTGCCTTTTGGGTCGTGACATTTTAGTGAAGATGATCCAGAAACTGCTTGTGATCTCCACTATACTGCATCCAATTGCTCCTTGAACAGAGATCTGCCTCACCAGCTCAATTTTCTGACATTTAATTGAAAATGGGCTGCCCCTAGTTGCACTGAGGTCTGGCATGGCCCTCACATTGAAATTCAGACAGAGTTCAGTACATGGACTGCTTTGTACCTCAATTTAAAAAAAAATAGTGTTAGTTGGAAATGATGCAAGCATTTACAAGAATCAATTCCTTATTTTGTGTAAGTAATTGGTGAAGTCAGTGTAATTAAGCAAGAAATTCAAGTCCAAAACAGAGTTCATGTGCGTGTATGTCATTGCAGGGAGCATGGTAAATAAGACTGGGGAGTTACAATAAATTACCATGTGGAAATGTGTGATAATATTGCTGGAAAGAATACTTCAGGAGGCTACTGCTGGAGAAAGATGATGTTTGAGGGTTTAAGGACAGAGTCAATTTGGCTACAGCTAAAGAATAAACAGCATACAATTACATTGCTTGATGTGGTCTACAGGCCAACTAGTGAAAAGGATGTAGCAGAGCAAATCTGCAGGAGAAATTAGAGGAATGCCAACATAAAGTAGTCAAAATGGGGGACTTCAGTAACCCAAATATACCGAAATGCAGCAAAGTGGCTCAGTGGTTAGCACTGCTGCCTACCAGCAGCAGAGACCACTGGTTTCAATTCCACCCTTGGGTGACTGTCTGTCTGTGTGGATTTTGCATGTTCTCCCACTGTCCGTGTGGGTTTCCTCCCGGGTGCTGCAGTTTCCTCCCACATCCGAAGATATGCAGGTTTAAGTGGATTGTCCATGCAAGATTGTCCATAGTGTCCTAGGATGTGTAGGTTAGGTGGATTAGCCATGGTAAATGTGGGGTTACAGGGATAGAGTGGGGAGCTGTCTGAGTGGGATACTCTTAAGAGGATCAGTGCGGACTCAAATGGTCGAATGGCCTCTTTCCACACTAGAGATTCTATGAAATATAAACTGGGATGTTGGTAAAGGGCAGAGGGGAGCAGATATTCCTAGAACATGTTGGAGAGTCTGCATGTCCATGTCCATGTGTCCAATCCAACTAGAAATGATACACGAACAAAAATGAGTTGCTGGAAAAGCTCAGTAGGTCTTGCAGCATCTGAGAAGAAAAAAATCAGTTAACGTTTCGGGTCTGGTGACCCTTCCTCAGAACTGACAGTAGTTAGGAAAACGTCACTTTATATGTAGAAAATAGGAAGGGGGTTGGGGTAGGAAGTACATGATAGGATAGAGCCCAAAAAGAGAGAAGAACAGTTGGACAGCCAAAGGAGTTGATAACGACCAGGCTGGGAGGGTGAATAGTTGTTAATGGGGTTTATTAATGACTAACAATAGGTGGTGTGTGATGGCAGGCTGTGATAACAAGGCCTGGTGTGTGGGCAAGGGGGCTGGGACATGGGAGAGTTTAGGCCCTAAAATTATTGAACTCGATATTGAGTCCGGAGGGCTGCAGGGTCCCCAAGCAGAAAATGAGGTTTTGTTCTTCCAGCTTGCATTGAGCTTCGCTGGAACACTGCAGCAAGCCAGAGAGAGATGTTGGCCAGGTAACAAGGTGGTGTGTTAGTGTCAGGCAACAGGTAGCTCAGGGTCTTTTTTGTGAGCAGAATGTAGATGTTCCGCGAAGCGGTCACCCAGTCTACGCTTCGGTTCCCGAACATAGGGGAGACCACATTGTGAGCAGCGAATGCAGTCGACTATATTCTGGGAAGTACAGGTGAAGTGTTGCTTTACCTGGAAGGTATGTTTGGGCCCTTGGATACTGGGGAGGGAGGACGTAAATGGGCAGGTGTTGCACCTTTGGTTACAGGGGGAGGTGCCGTAGGGCTGTGGGGAGGTGTTGGGGGTGAAGGAAGTGTGGACCAGTGTGTCCTGGAGGGAACGGTCCCTGTGGAAGGCGGACAAGGGAGGGGAGGGGAGTATATGTCTGGTGGTGGAATCTCGCTTGAGGTGGCGGAAATAGCACCTGATGATCTTCTGGATGTGGATGCTGGTGGAATGGTAGGTAAAGGTAAGGGGATCCCTTTCGTTGTTGCGGGAAGGAAGAGAAAGGGGTGAGGTTGGAAGTGCAGGAAAAGGGTCTGACACGGTTGAGGGTTCCGTCAACGACGGGGCTGGGGAATCCTCATTTGAGGAAGAAGGCGGACATTTCGGACGGTCCCTTGTCAAAGTTGGCCTCGTCTGATCATATATGACAGAGGTGGAGGAACTGAGAGAATGGCATGGAGTCTTTTTAGGAGGCAGAGTGTGAGGATGTGTAGTCCAGGTAGCTGTGGGAGTCAGTGGGTTTATAATGAAATGATACATTGCTGGACCTAGTCCTTGGTAATCTCGTGGGCCAAATGGATCAAGTATCAGTGGAAGACGATTGAGGAAACAATGATCATTGTTTCACAGGGTTCAGAATGGTGGTGGAGAATGACGATCCAGAGTGAAAAAAATCAATTAAACGGAAAGCTGAGTTCAGTAGGGCAAAAGCAGAGCTGGGCAGGATTAATTGGAACAAAAGGTTGTCAGGACAAACAGTAACTGAATAACGGGCTACCTTCAATGATTTGGATGCGATCATGGTATGTTGCCTCAAATGGGAAAGATAGGATAAACCAATAAAGACTCCTTTATGATGATTTATTTTAAAAGAAAAAGTACGCTTATGACAAGTGTTAGACAGAAAACACAATTGAGAACAAATAAGAATACTGATTATTTGGAGGGGAGTCGAAAAAGCATAGAGTTATGAGAAAAGGCTAAATGGGAATCCCAAGGCCATCTTTGTAAATAAGGGAGTGATTAAAGGAGGCGTAGGGTTGATTAGAGACTAAAAGGGAATTTATAATTGGAGGCAGGAGGTATGACAGGTGCTAAATGAATACTTTGCATCCCTCTTAATAAAAGAGGAGGATGTTGCCTAGGCCATGGCGACAAAGGAGGAAACTCTGTCCAGATGAGATGCATTCAAGAACTTCGAAGGAAGTGACGACATTGGCCATAATCTTTGTCTCCTGGAGACTCAGGAGGACCCAGAAGACTAGAGAATTGTAAACATTCCAGCCTTGTAAAGGTTGCACGAATAAACCCAAGAATTACAGACCAGTCGGTCTAACTTTGGTGGGGAAGCTTCCAGAAACAATTATTTGTTTTGAATTGATAGTCGCATGGAAAATGGTCAGTTGATAGATAGAGTCAGCATGGATTTCTGAAGGGAAAATCACGCTTAACTAACTAACTGGAGTTTCTGGAAAAAGTAACAAAAAGCCGATGAAGTAATGCTGTTGATATGGTATGCATGGGTTTCTAGAAGGCTTTTGATACTGTGCCACAAAACAGACACGAGGAAATCCGTGGTATAAAAGAGGTAGTCGTAACACGGATACAAAATTGGCTGGGTGATTGGAAACAATAATAGTCATTGGATGTTTTCCAAGCTAAGGAAGGTTTTTGGTGGAGTTTTGCTGGGGTTAGTATTGGGACCCTTGCTTTTCCTGATATGTTAATGATCTGGATATTGTTGTGCAAGGCATAATTTCAAAGTTTGCAAATGACATGAAACTTGGAAGAATTGTAAACTGAGGAGGACAGTGTGAAACTTTAAAAGGAAATTGGACAAGTTGGTGGAATAGGTAGACCGGTGGCAGATGAGCTTCAAAACAAAAGTGTGACGTGGTGCACCTGGGTAGGAAGAACACTGAAAGACGAAATAAGATAGGTGATACACCTCAAAAGCACGAAGGCAGAAAAGAGGGACCTAAGTGTATATTTGCTCAGATCATTGAAGGTGATGGGACAAACAAAGAGCAGTTAATTAAGCAAACACTGTCATCGGCTTTATTAATAAGGGTAAAGAGTACATGGAAAAGGAGGTGATGTTGAACCTGCATAAGACATTTGCTTAAGCGTGGCTTGGACAACCTATGGGAGTGGGCAAGTAAATGGCAGGTGCAGTATGTTGTGGATGAATATGAGGTTATCCACTTACGGAGCAAAACCAGGAATGTGGATTATCATCTGACTATAAATTGAGGAGGGAATGCTCAATGAGACCTCGGTGCCCTTGTACATCTGTCACTGAAGATAAGCGTGCAGGTACAGCAGATGGTCAAGAAGGCAAATGGTATATTGGCCTTCATAGCAAGAGGATTTGAGTACAGGAGCAGAAATGTCTTGCTACAATTATACTGGACCTTGGGGAGATCACACCTGGAATAGTGGGTGCAGTTTAGATCTCATCTGAGGAAGGATATTCTTGCTGTAGTGGAAGAGCAGGAACGATTTACCAGACTCGTTGCTGGGATGGTAGGACTGATGTAGGAGGAGAGGTTGGATCAGTAAGGATTATATTTGCTGGAATTTGGAGACAGAAATGAGGGGTGATCTCAAACGTACAAAATTCTAACAGGCTAGGACAGGGTAGACACAGGAAGGATGTTTCCAATGATGGGGGAATCTAGAACCTGGGATCACAGTCTAAGGATACGAGGTAAACCATTTAGGACTGAGATGAGAATGTTCTTTATGCAGTGAGTGTTAAGTCTGTGCAATTTGCTACCACAGAAATCAATTGAGGCCAAAACATTGTGTGATTTCAAGAAGGAGTTAGATAAAGCACCTAGTGCTAAAGGGATCAAAGGATTTGGAGGAAAAGTGGGAACAGGCTATTGAGTTGGATGATCAGCCATGATCACTGTAAATAGTGCAGCAGGCTCGAACAGCCAAATAGCCTACTACTTCTCCTGCTATGTTTTTATTTTAGACTTCAGCTGGAGTTTTGTATACAGTTGTGGGTCCCACATTACAGGAAAGATATGAATGTGTTGGAGATTTACAAGCATAGTTCCAGGAACGAGAAACTTGGGTATGAGGATAGATTGAAGAAGTTGGAACTGTTCTCCTTGGAAAGTGATAGATTGAGAGGAGATTTTATAGAGATTTCAAAAACCATGAGTGAACTGGTTGGACTAGATTGGGAGAGTATGTTTCCACTCCTTAGTATGAACAGATAAAATGAAGTCAATTAAAATAGTATTAAACTCAAGATACAATACAGTATACTAATTGTTAATGCCAATGCTTAAATCCCAAGTATTCCCACAGTGGCTCAACTCTACACTTCCCTAACCTGTATTAGTGCAGTTCAAATATCGGAACACTGGAGAATAGTGGAGTGAGGAGATAAGTTGATGAGCATTCTTTTCTACTTTCGAGGAAAAATTACAGAATTGGCATTTGTTTTTCTTTGAACGAGAAAAAGTTAAAATTCTGAGGCACTTCAGCCTTCAATTTACCAGCCAGTTTACAATTGAATGCCATGTGTGTATTTTCCCCTGTATTTGATTTATTGTCGCTAATCCTGCAGATTTTCAGGAGCCGTATGCGGTCGTTGTCCTTCTGGAAAAGGACTTGGTCGTTGTGGATCTTGGACAAAACGGGTAAGTCTCATGTTGAATTAATGTTTGATCTAATTACTATAAATTGGGTTATTAAAATAGCAGATGTTGGAGTCGGAGACAACATCGTGTGGAGCTAGAGGAACACAGCAGGCCAGGCAGCATCAGAGGAGCAGGAAAGCTGACGTTTCGGGTCGGGACCCTTTGTCAGAAAATAGCATTTCAGTTTAAATAATTCAAAGAGGGTACATATCTGTTGTTATTGTTTCCAATGGTGGAAGGCTCTAGAACCAAATGGTACAGATTCAAAGCCATAGCGAAAGAAGCATGGTGACATGAGAAAACCTTTTCTAATGCAGTGAGTGGTTAGGGTCTGGAATAAACTGCCTGAGAGCTAGTCGGAGGCTGACTTAGTTGGGACATTCAAAAGGGAATTCGATCGTTACCTGAAAAGGAAAGTCAACACTAGTGTGGGCCAACTAGCTTCCTTTTGTATTGTAGCTATTCTTTGATTCTAATATGGACTTGATTTTCTACCTATTATCCAGCTGTCTGCTGAATGTTTGTGGACTGTGCAGCCATTTCATAAAACTCAATAGAAAAGGCTTTAACAGCATACAATTCCCATATATTTTGTTCAAGGAATAATTAATATAAAACAGTTGAACACCACAGTTATCTCTATGCAAGTCTTTGCAGTATTCTCTTTTCCATCATAATTGGGCACTAAAAAATAATTTGTGTACAATCTTTGCCCAATTTATGACCTAGGTTAATGGATTCATCTGTAAATTCTAACTTGTAGGAAGTTAACATTTATAGTTTTTTAATGGAAAATCTGTTGCCAATGCTTTTTGAAACACTATTTCTTTGTCTTCCAGTTATCCTATATTTGAGAACCCATATCCTTTGGATATACACGAATCACCTGTCACCTGTTGCGAGTATTTTGCTGACTGCCCTGTGGATTTAATTCCTGCACTTTATTCTGTTGGGGCAAAGCAGAAACGGCAAGGATACAGTAAAAAGGTTTACAGTTTGTTTTTCAAAATGTAAAAATATTTTCAATCTATTGCAAGCATGTTTATGCAGAATTTCCTTGCTATTTAGATGGCGTATGCACCACACCATTAAAATATTTCCTTCCTCATGCCTCTGCTCAGTTGACCTCTTTGTGTATATGGATAGACACGTGTCTGCACGTTTCTGGTATTATTGTTGCCATTTTCACAATTCAACCTATATTCAGAACTTCTTTTCTATGTTAAAAGTTTTGTTTATGGAATTAGAATTTTTAAAATTGCTTTTTAAATTGCGCATACAATAGCGCACTGGTTATACCTAGTCTGTTTATGGCCTCCTTTTAGAGGAAAAAGTGGTATTGGAACAAATTGTGGATTGTATACAAAGCAGTAACAGATATATATCCTTGAAGGGTTAATACATTGACCATCTTTGTGTCTCCAGCACTTAATTTAATTTTTTTATTCCCTCCTTTCAACCCTGAATTAGTGTTTTTTTTGTGACAAGTTTCCGATGTTACACCAATGAGATCAAGTTGCAGAGCTCTTTGTTCAGATCTGATGTTTGATCAGATGGACCTAGGCCTTGACTTGTATTAGAATTCTTTTGTTTTAAATTCTTGGTTTTACTATCTTTTCACTCGCAGAGAAAGAAAAAAGATGTTTTATACTTGCTGGCTCTGGATAGTTCTTGCTGCACTGCTCTAACCAGTCTGTAGCAAACAGCAGCTAGACCAATCAGTGGGCTGTCATTGGGCAATTTTTCTTTAACTCAAAGGCCCAGTGATATTCTGATTTAATATAACAAACTAAGTGCTTCAACGGCGACATAGTCTTAATTTGATTTTTTCCATGTTACAAAATTCACCTGTTATTTCAACTTCTTAGCAATGTCCAACTTCCTTTCCAGTTTACAGTTTAAAAAGGAAAGATTAGTGATTCTTTACATGTGAGTATCTTAGTGGTTTTATTACTTGACTGAGGTTTTGACACTTGAGCCCTCCAACCATGTTTACAGATGTGTTAGTTCTCTATTACTTGAAGATGCAACAGGAAATAGCAGGCTTGAATGTTCCTGAAGGTACCATGTTATAGTTAGAAAACTTAATTATGGGATTATTTACCTTCTTGGCTACTGTCCTTCAAGCAAAGACCTGGCCTGTGGCAATCTGTTATTGGCTCCTGTTTTTATTTGATCCATTGCTTGTGTTTCAAATTGTTTTTGGAAACAAGGTTAACACTACTTATGCAGCAGGCTCACAGGAGTCATGGGCAGTTATTAGTACAAAATTCATGTAGAAATTATATCAGATTATGAATTTCTAGATATTATGATTAGTGGCAAGAATATCTTCCTCAGAAAATTTCTCAGTGTCTACGTTTATGTCTTCAAGGAATGGCCCATCAACGGAGGTAATTGGGGTTTAGGCACACAGAGCTACCCAGAGATTATTATTACAGGGTAAGTAAGGAATGTTAAGTATCCTCATAATTTATATGAAGTATTTTCAGTACTTTAGTGTCTTCTGGAGTATTAAGCACATCAATTATGTTTTTAAAATGAGGGTTGAAACAGATGCAGTAAACTGTGTCCTCCCATACCCAAGCACTTGTAACTCTCATGCACCTGGCAAAAGTTTCCAAGAAAATTCACCATTTTTATGAAATTTCTACAAAAACCTCGGTTTGAACTTGGCACACCAAATTTCCAAGCATCACTGCCCATCATCCTCCATCATGCTTGCACCATTTACAGCAATGGCTGGTTGAATTTGTGATCACATTTGATCTGAAATCTTTTACCTATCGATACACTACGTCACTGAAAAATACTCCCATGGCAAGGGCTAAAGCAAAAATATATTGTTTTGAGATTGGATATAAATGACTAGAAAAGGATCAGATAATTGGTTTTTTTTTTTGGAGAAACAGACTTTGAGATGACCTTGCTTGTTTCCAAGAGTATACAGGAAATTGACAGGAATGTCCTACAGTTAGAATGGTTTATGCGTTAAATCGTAGTGGATGCAACACAAAGGAAGGAAACCTGTCATAAAGGTTTTACCTGAATGGTGGTAAGGCAGATGGCATTCTTGACATTTGCTGAAGGAATGAACTCTATCAAACAATTGCTACTTCCTAAAAATTCTTTTTCATTTAGTTCATTTGTAAAATACCAATGACTAAGTTTCTTACATGTGCTTTAGAATTCTGACATAAGAGGCTCTTGACCTGGCTAATGTCTCTTGTTAACAAGCATTTACTGGGCTGAGATTTGATTTGTACCATTGGTAGGTAGGTTTTTGAATAGCAATCCTGCTTAGCAGCTTCTGTATCTCCAGCAGTCACCAGAATTCGTTACCTAGCATGTCTGATCTTGGTGCAGTGGTCTCTAGCTGCACCTCTTCTCCACCTAGCAGGTTATAAAGTATTGTGTTGGGGTCAGTATCCTAAAATCCCTTCCGGAACAACATTTGTGGAAGTACCATCACAAGGACTGGGATTGTCATATTTTAGGGCAACTAATGAGGACATTGAATGTGCCCTTGTCAACATCATCCATATTCTAAGAACAAATAAAACAGCAAAGTCCTAACAATTCTGATAGGGTGACCACCTTGGTTTCAGTTTGGTGTTAACCAGTTGAAATGAAATTAGATTTGGTCGCTTTAGAAATTGGACTTGATCATTTATTTTTGCAAAAAACCTTTTGCATAATAGTAAGTATTAATGTAAACCGGTGAGTGAAGAACAAATTGATTGAAAAGATTCTGAATCCCTTCTTATGTAAGTGCCATTATGCTTTTTAGGCAACTGTTAAAACCTTTGAAGAAAAGGTCAGTGAACAAGATATTAAGATCTGTTTTTCCATTTACTTTTAGGCATGCGGATGGATCTTTGAAGTTCTGGGATGCTTCAGCCAGTAAGTTGGATAAATTCTTCAAATATCCAAGATGAAATGTTATGCTCAAGGGTCAAATTATTGCTGTGTCTGTAAAATACTGTTTTTCTTCCCTCATGGATGTTATTCCAAAAAGCTGATATGACAACTGCATTTTGAAAAATGAGGCCAAAATCATCATGTTGTACCATAAGCTTGCCTTTCATCCTCAATACAAGCAAAACTGGATTTTCCTCTGAATCAAGTTTAACATGTAGTGAGTCTTATGAGAATTTCAAACAAATGGTTTGTGGAATATGGAAAAAGAGTCTTTGGAAACTATCTCTCTTTTCTTGTAGTAAATGGAAGACTGTTTATTTGAACAGTGCAAATTTCCATTTCACTGTTTGTTTTATATTGACTTTGAAAAATTAGAGTTTGAGATCTGGTGTTTCTTCAAAATGAAAGTTGTTAAATTTGACTTGATGTCACTCCACAACTAGTTATTTCTATACAGGTGATTTATTTGAGTGAATAATGCAGAACGTTTTTAATAGCATAAAATTTTGCCCATTTGTACATATCTAGGAGAACACAAGCATGTCTCTTGAGGACAGCAGTTTCGTTTTTTTGATGTTCACTAGTTGGTTCCTGACAGCTTTTCTAGAAGCAACAGTTTTGTGGCTTGTTGTAATAGGCAAGAGCTCAATGTTAAAATGCATTAGGTTGTCTTTTTAATTTGCAACAGATCTACTAACTTTTCATTGAATGTTCTTATTCTCCACATTTTTGATTTTTCTTGCTTGTTAGTAACATTGCAAGTTTTGTATAAAATGAAAACATCCAAAGTATTCGAAAAGTCTCGGAATAAGGAGGAGAAACCAAACACCGACATAGTGGATGAAGACCCTTATGCCATTCAGATAATTACGTGGTGTCCTGAAAGCAGAATGCTATGCGTGGCAGGGGTATCAGCACATGTAATCGTTTACAAATTCAGCAGACAGGAAGTGACAACAGAGGCTATTCAGGTATAACCTACAATTAAAGTACAGTTAAAGATAATGAATTCCTTCTCATCTAATGGTAATTGATTCCATTTATCTTGAATCGCAGCCTAGAACAAAACGCTATTTTTCTGGCTGACAAAAATCACTTTTTGCCTATGTTTGGTGTATGTGTTGTTCTGCCTTTTACAGTCGTGACATGCTATACTTGCATTAGAGATCAGCCTCAATTTTTCACCCCCATACAGAATCAGAGTCAAAGATGTACAGCATGGAAACAGACCCTTTGTTCCAACTCTTCCGTGCCAACTAAATTAATCTAGTCCAATCTGTCAGCATTTGGCCCATATCCCTTTTAAACCCTATTCATATATCCATCAAGATGCCTCTTTAAATACTGTAATTGTACCAGCCTCTGCCACTTCCTCTGGAAGCTCATTCCATGCACGCACCACCCTTTGTGTGTAAAAGATGCCCTTTAGGCCCCTTCTAAATCTTTCCTTTCTCATCTTAAACCTATGCCCTCTGGTTTTGGACTCTGCTACCCTGGGGAATATACCTTGGCTACTCACCCTATCTGTGCCCCTTGTGATTTTATAATTTTCTATAAGGTCACCCCTCAGCCTCCGACCTTCCAGGGAAAATTTAGCTACAGCCTATTCAGCCTCTCACTATAGCTGAAACCCTCCAACCCTGGCAACATCCTTGTAAATCTTTTCTGAAGCCTTCCAAGTTTCACAATGTCCTTCCTATAGCAGGGAGACCAGAATTGCACACAGTATTCCAAAAGTGGCCTAACTAATATCCTGTACAGCTGCAACATGACCTCCCAACTCCAATACTCAATGAACTGACCAATAGGCAAGCATACCAAATGCCGCCTTCACTATCCTGTCTATCTGCGACTATTTTCAAGGAACTATGAACCTGCACTCCTCCAATGTTTGTGTTCAGCAACATTCCGCAGGACATTACCATTAGGTGTATAAGTCCTGCCCTGATTTGCCTTTCCAAAATGAAGCGCCGCACATTTATATAAATTAAACTCCATCCACCACTCCTTGGCCCACTGGCCCATCTGACCAAGGTCCTATTGTACTGTGAGGTAACCTTCTTGGTTGTGTATTTGGTGTCATCTGGAAATGTACTAACCATACCTCCTATGTTCATATCCAAATCACTTATATAAAGGAAAAAAGCATTTTTTTGGACCCAGCACCGCTCCTTGTGGCACACTGCTAGTTACAGATCTCCAGTATGAAAAGCAACCCTCCACCACCACGCTTTGTCTCCTACCTTGAAGCCAATTCTGTATCCAAGTAGCTAGTTCACTCCGTATTGCGTGTAATCTAACCCTGCTAACCAGTCTACCATATGGAACCTTGTTGAACGCCAGAATGAAGTTCATATAGATCATGTCCACTGTTCTGCCTTCATCAATCCTCCTGTTATTTCTCCAAAAAACTCAATCAAATTAGTGCAACATGATTTCCCACTGTCAAAGCCATGTTGACTATCCCTAAATCAGTCCTTGCCTTTCCGAATACATGTAAATTCTGTCCCTCAGGATCCCTTCTAACAACTTGCCCACCACTGATGTTGGGCTCACTGGTCTATAACTCCCTGGCTTTTCCTTACCACCTTTCTTAAATAGTGGTACCGCATTAGCCAATCTCCAGTCTTACGGCATCTCACCTGCAGCTATCGATGACACAGATACCTCAGCAAATAGCCCAGCAATCGCTTCCCTATGTTTCCCACAAAGTTCTAGGATGCACCTGATCACGTCCTGAGGATTTATCCACCTTTTTGTTTTAAGATGTTCAGCACCACCATCTCTGTAATATGGACACTTTTCGAGATGTTGCTATCTATTTCCCCAAGTTCTGTCGCTTCCATATCCTTCTCCACAGTAAACACTGATGCAAAATACTCACTTAGTATCTTCACCATCACTTGCAGTTCCACACATAGGCAGCCTTGCTAATCTTTAAAAGGCCCTATTCTCTCCCTAGTAATCCTTTAGTCCTTAACATATTTGTAGAATCCCTTTGGATTCTCCTTAACCCCACGTGCCAAAGCTATCTCGTGTCCCCTGATTTCCCTCTTAAGTATACTTCTACTGCCTTTGTACTCTAGTAGGGATTCACTTGATCCCTGCTGTCTATATCTGATACATGCTGCTGCCTTTTTCTTGCCCAAAACCTCCATTTCTCTAGTCATCCGGCATTTCCTTCATCTACCAGCCTTGCCCAATAACAGAAACATACTGTTTCTGGACTCTTATCTCTTTTTTTTTTTTTGAAGGCTTCCCACTTACCAGCCGTCTCTACCTGCGAATATCTGCCCCCAATCAACTTTTGAAAGTTCTTGCCTAATACTGTTAAAATTGGCCTTCCTCCAATTCAGAACTTTAACTTTTAGATCCGGTCTGTCTTTTTCCATCACTGTTTTGAAGCCAATAGAATTATGATGGCTGGCCCTAAAGTGCTCCCCCATTGACACCTTAGTCACCTACCCTGCCTTATTTCCCAAGAATAGGCCATGTTTTGCTCCTTCTGTCGTGGGTACATCGACATACTGAATCAGAAAATTTGTTTGTACATGCTTGACAAATTCCTGTCCATCCAAGCCCTTAACACTATGGCAGTCCCAATCTATGTTTGGAAAGTTAAAATCGCCTACCATTACCACCGTGTTATTCTTATAGATGACAGAGATCTCCTTACAAATTTGCTTCTCAATTTCCCGCTGACTGTTGTGGGGGAGGGTCTATCATATAATCCCTATAAAGTCATTGTCCCTTTCTTATTTCTCATTCCACCCAAATAACATCCCTGGATGTGCTCCCAGGAATATCCTCCCTAAGTACAGGTGTAACGTTATCCCTAAATAAAAAGGTTACTCCCCCTCCTCTCTTGTCCTTTATAAATGATTTACTTACTAGTACTTAATAACTATGTGCAAGGATCAAGTGGGCATTACAACAGTTTAAGGCACACCTATCTTTGTGTCAGATGCCATTGATATTCCAAAATGATGACTATGGACAATGTCGGTTCTCTTTTATACTCCGTACATAAATCGGCTCCCATTTTTGTTTTGAGGGGATGTTTTAAGGCTTCGCAGGTTGACTTGTATGCCAGCATCTGTTATGGTGAGCGTTTTCACTTGTACTCTGATAGACTTAACAATGAAAGCTGGAGGTATTTCTTAGAATCGCACAGAACAGAATTCTGTCCATGTTCGCTTGTTCTTTAAATAGTTTTCTAATCACTCCTTAGCTTTTGTTCCTTTGCTATAGCTCAATAATTTTCTGCTTTTTAACTGTCTGCTAGTTCCCCTTTAGAAATTACTGCCCTTTCAGACAGTACATTTCTGACTGTAATTTGATGCATAAATAACATTTTTCTTGCCACACCTGTAATTTGTTTATCAACATCTGTTGTTACACTTCATTGGGCTAGCATGATGCAAATCAAACCTTGCTTTTCCTGGAGTAATCACAAAAGTTGAAGATTTTTAAAAGCTTGCAGAATTCCTAAATTTACTTGTCTTTTAGAGCCATGTTGATAGTGCACACCAGGTTTCTGTAAATAACAAGAATGACTATTTATTCATTATTACAAATGAATACATTCTAGCTACAAATAAACAACTATAAATTGTCAGTATATAGCTCTACCAGCTAAAACTCTAACACCTTATAAACATCCCATCATCACAGATAGAAAAAAAATAACATGGTTATCTGTGGAGGGAAAGATTGAGAAGGCTCTTCCGTGGTCCCTGTCCAAAAAATGCAATTCAGCCAAACAGTTATGGTCCTCACGTGCTATCTCTCCAGTCCAGAAAAAAGAAACAATCTGCGCCTTTTAATTTTTAACAGGAAGTCTCGCTGTCTGAGACTTCACTCTAGCAGCCGGGAACTCAAGCTTTTTACTCAGCAGCCGCAGACACTTTCTAACTAATTGAAAGCAAAACTAAAAGCCTTCCCGGGTCTGTCTAAGCTTTGACTCATGATTCTTTTGTCTGTCTTATTTAAAAAGAAGGACCCAGAGAGCACTCAAAAGTTGCTTATCAGCTGCCTGTGTGAAGATGACATTCCAGCACCTCTGTGGCGACACTCCTTTACACAGAACACCAGTCTTAAAGGGCAGAGTGTCATCACAAAGTGCGGCATGCCTTCAGCAGCCCTTTATTTTTAAAACAGTGCTTTTTCCATTTCAGGCCATAATCAATTTACAAAAATTTTAAATATACCATCTTTACACTGTTGCCTTCTGTTTACTGACATGCTGGCCAGAGAAAACCCTTTCATCTTACTTGCTCTGTCATAATCCTTCATAATTTTGATCATATCTATGAAATACAGTTGAAAATCATACCAGGAAGCATCAGTAGCAGTCTATCTAAATGAGTGACAACGCATCAAAGAAACCCAGCTACCCTGAAATATTTGTGCGGCTGTAACTGATGTAGTAATTTTCTACCAGGAGTTGACGTAACTCAGCAGTTCAGGCCTGTACTTAGGTCTTCAAGCTTGCACTATCCAAGTCCATAAGTCGAGAGCCCTGGGTTACTCCATTTAGAAATAATTGTAAACCCTACTGTTCTTGACTGAAACTTCATTGCTGTGCTGTTACCTTTCATGTTGCCTCAAAAGCTTTATTCCAGTGTTACAAAATGACTTAATCATCCTTGTGCTTTGCACTTCTGTAACTTTTAGTTTTATCGGCTTAAACAGTTGGAATGATGAAAATTCAAATCGCTGAATTTAGATAAGAACCATCTTGTTTGGTTCTGTTAAATAAGTTGTGGAAACTTAGCGGTTGATTACTACAGTGAAATAGAGAAATATCCTCTCTTTCTTCTCTCTGCTACAGATGCTCGAAATACGCTTGCTTTATGAAATAAATGATCTAGAATCACCAGAAACCGATCAAATACCATCTTTGGGGGCACCATGCCAGGGGCCAAACTCTCAGACAGCAAATTCTCAGTCTCATCCCTCTACAAGCAGCAGCTCATCGGATGGTCTTCGTGATAACGTGCCCTGCCTAAAGTAGGTATTGATCAGGAAGTCCTGAAATATTTTACAACCTTACTGCAAATTCATCAGTTTTGAGTGTAATTGCTGTTGTATGTAATATGGGAAATGCAAAACATCTTGCAGTCGCTCTTCACTTTTCTGTGACGTTGTTTGGGGGCACTTGGGGAATAAATCCCTTTTTGCATTAGTGTTATAGGTTGCTTTTACTCTCATTTGAGACCAGATGGAGCCTCTGTTTTGTATTTTCTTTGAAAGAGGATGCCTGTGACGTTGGAGCGTCAGCCTAGATTTTTGTCCTGAAGTCTTAGATTGAGACTGACACTCAACCATCTGACTCCTATTAAAGACTGCTTCGAGAATGCTATGAATAATACACCGTAGAAATAGTATACGTTGTGTAAAATGTGCGAAAGGTGTTAAAGAACAAATTGATGTGATAGTATCAGTCACAGCACGGAATTGCGTAACCTTTCCTCTGTGTCATGTGATTTTGACGATACATGCTCAATGTATTCACCATGTTTTATCTTGGCTTAGTTGATTGTGCTGTTGCCTCTTGAGTTGGGCTGTATGGAGAAGTCCCACTCCGGAGATGTAGTCTAGCCTAATGCGTCAGTAAAATAACGGTACTACATTGTCAGAGACACTGTCTTAGTGATTAAATAGAGGCACACTTTGCCAAAAAAAAATTCATCTTGCATGTTGTTTGAATTTTTCTGTGTAAATATTGCATCTAATAGTGACTGCACTTGAAGTAATGACATGCTTATAAAGCACTTAAGGGCGTATTCAAAATGTTTAAGGTACTGCAGAGTACAAATTCTTGACAATTTAAACTTTCCTTTTATTTCTTGTATATGGTCAATTAACTTTCATGTCAGTTTCAAAGGATACTAAGTTCTCAATAGAAAAGTTTAATTTCAAGGATTAAATTTTCAACACCAATAATTGCTATTTATGTAATGTTTCTAACTTGGTAATCAGTGTAATGCTTTTCTTGAGGGTTATCAAACAATTTTTGACATGCAACTGTGCTAGGATAGAAGACCAAAAGTTTGCATGAACTAGTATTAAGGAACATCTTAAAGGACAAAAGACAGGCAGGGAGGTTAAGTCAGGAAATGAGAGTTTTATTGCTGAAAAGAGACAAGTTGCTAATACTCTCTTGTCTTGCGTGCATCAGGCAAATGTAAGAATGTTGACTGTCAAGCTATCGTTATACCAGAGACAAACAATGGTGTGCGGATTGATTGGCAAGTTAACTCTGATTAATTAAAACCTAGAGAAAAGAAGGGGGAATTCTGGGGTCTGCATACTTCCTGGTAATTGAAAGAGCACAAGGCTTGAACGTATTCTTTCTGTTTGCAGAGAATGAGTTCCTGCGTTTTGAAGGTATGTCACTTTCAGCAAACCTAAATGAGCCATGTGAAGAGCTCAGTTTAAGATTTATCTTAAGTTGTTTGTGTACTATTAGCTCACTCAGGATTGTTCAGGAAGTTCAATTGCCAAGTCACATCTAAGAATAAATGCCTATTGGACTTGTACAAGTAATAAGTTACCTTGTGACGCACATGACAGGGTTCTTCATTGTGGCTTACTGCATTCACACACGAGTTGTCTGAGATGCACAAAAGTAATGTCCTGTTATATCCTATTTTATCATTTACCATTTCTTCACGGCGTGGATTGAGTTACTACAGCCTATTCAGTGAGTTTTTCACGCATTGTGAAGGGTTACTTTGCTAAGGCTATGCATGATCTACAGATTGATAAGTGCTTTGTTTTGCCTGTTGTAGAGATGATGGTGGTAATATCACTGGATTAATAATTCAAACCCCCAATCTGATGTCAGAGCATGGATTGAAATGCCACCAGGACAGTTGGTCAAATTTCCATTTGATTAATGTATCCGGATTGAAAATTGCTTTCATTTAATAATGTCCATGAGCCATCAGTTGTTCCAAAGACTCATCTGGTTTACTGGTGCCCTTTCTATAAAGAAATATGCTGTCAGCTATATGTATCTCCAGACTTATAATAATGTGTTTCATTCTTAAACACCCTCTTAAAATAGCCTTACAAGTCAATCGGTTCAAGGGCAGTAAGTGATGGGCAAGAAATGCTGGACCATGCCAGTGATGCCCATATATGAAAGTTTTTTTTATGAATGGAGTATGCTGCTGAAGGAAGTCATTAACATTTGTGCCACATTGCTATTAATATGATCCCAATTGATTGTAATCCTCTACAAATCCGATCCCACAATGAAACCTTACATGATGGATCATGTATGCTGTTTGTGCAGTTTGATTACCAAGGTGGTCAGTCACTGAACATATTCACTTGGCTGCCTATGTAGTTTTGAACAAAGCAAAAGATTATAACATGAGAAAATGCTGTATGACAACTTTGAAAGATCTTATCTTAGACAGCAGTAAAGTTCAACCCTATTTGTTTCTCAGCAATATCCTCTACAGACACTTGATTCCAATGAAATATCATTCCTATCATAATTCTTTGATTTCTTAGTCATCTAGCAAGATGGCAAGTACTTCCTTTGGACTTGTACATTCAACAGATGTGATTCAACTTGTTACTATCCCTCCCCAAGATTCACAAACACCAGCTAATATCTTGTACATTAAGACAAGTGCTGTTGATGTGAGCAGCTAAACAGTTTAAGATGGTTTTTCAGCCCCAGGAGCCCCGAAGTGGCTTTCTGCCCCCAGGGTCTCGAAGCATTTGAAACTGACCCCTCTTAAAAGTTCAACTTTATAAACACTTCAACATTTAACACTTCACTATTTCAACCTAAGTTGCATGCTTTTTTGGGATAATTGTTTTGAACTTCCTTACATGCTGCTCAAACGTTGACTGTCTGACCTTTTGTAAAATAAAAAGGTTATGTTCACAGAACTAAGACCAAACATCCATTTACTTTAGAATCCAAATTCCCAAATGATGACATGAATTTTCATCGCACTATATCATGACAATCTGGACAAGCTATCATTTTCTGAATATATATTCACTTAATTTACAAACTTGGCAAGTAATTAAGGTTGATAATAAAGGATAACATTCTATGAGGGTAATTGGAAATAAAAATAATAATTTTATGCTTCTGTTATACAGGCATTGAGATTGGATCTCAAATACTTAATAGTTTTGGTCTGTCTTTAAGGAAGGATGTGTCTGTGTTAGAGACTTATTAGATTCATACTTGGGAATGAGCAGGTTTCTTAGGAACGATTGGACAGACAGGGCTTGCTTCCATTGGAATTTAGAAGAGTCAAGTGACTTGATTGAAGTGTGTAAGATCATGGAAATCTTGAAGACATGGAAGATATTTCCTCTTGCGGGTGAGTCCAGAATTGTTTAAAAAGTTAGGGTTCACCTTTTTAGCACAGACATGAGAAGTAGTTTGAAGGATGTGCGACTTTGGAACTCTGTGCCTCAGAAGGTAGAGGATATATTAATTACTTTGAAAAATCAGAATCCTAAAGTTACTGGGGGAGGTGAAAATGTGGAATTCAAAACACAAACCAATTGACCATGATCTTTTTGAATGGCAGAGCAGGCTTGAGTGGCCAAATGGCATAGCGTACTCCTAATTCATATGTTCACTTGCATTTGAGTTCAGTTTTAATGATATGAGGTCCATCCAAACATATAACGTAGCCACGTGATCCCCTCATGTCCAACACTAACATTTTCATGTTTTTGATAGAATGAGCCCTAACCACTTATCTTTCTATGTTTCTGATACATAGATGCTTTTTGACCTTTGCATCTTCAACCGCACATATGGATTTATTTTCACGCCTTTTAGCGTGCTCCATTCATTTTTGAGATGGAATTGTGTAAGGTGCCTCTCTTCTCATCTAGTTAAGAAGTTGGCTAATGGGTTCTTCATGACAGACTATGGCAAATATAACCTTCACTTCAGTACACAGGTTGAGGTTTGTATAGTTCCACATACTACGAGATTGGTTTTATTAGGAGACCGGCACTGTGGCTCAGTGGTTAGCACTGCTGCCTTACAGCTCCAGGGACCCGGGTTCGATCCCACTCTCGGACGACTGTCTGTGTGGAGTTTGCACGTTCTCCCTGTGTCTGCGTGGGTTTGCTCTGGTTTCCTCCCACAGTCCAAAGATGTGCAGGCTAGTTGGATTGGCCATGCTAAATTGCCTGTAGTATTCAGGGATATGTAGATTAGGTGGGTTATAGGGAGATGGGTCTGGGGGTGGTGGGTGCTCTGAGGATCGGTGTGGACTTGTTGGGCTGAAGGGTCTATTTCCACACTGTAGGGATTCTATGAAATCTATTGTAAATGAGGCCCTAAGTATTTGCTGTCCTTGCAAGCTCAATGCAGAAATAGAATGCAGCAAACCTGTTCTTTTGGACAATGCCTAGCCCAGTCAAATTATTGTTTGCTATGTATCATGCAAGTTTGCAATTTGGCCAACAGCTGCTGCTTTTGGATCTGTGAAAAGTGCCTCAAGTTTCCCTGGAAATGCAAAGTATCTCAAAAATTTGTACAAGTTAAGCAAACTGTTTTATGCTGTTGTATGAAGTGGCGATGTGTCTGGGATTTTCCACCAATAGGATGCTGTTATTAATCCAATAAGATGTTCTGCCTACTATACAATTGAACAAGAGATTTCATTGTTGGTGTGATGCCATCTATCTAGACATACATGTCCCAACAATCATTTGACTAGTCAAATGGCATGTGCCTCCTCAACGGGCAGAGTACAGAGCACCAACCAGCCTACACTTGCAAAACCGAAAGCACAATTTCTCCTGTCAGATGTGTTTCCTCAACAGGGCAACAATCCTGAACTATTGAATGCGCTAATAGCTACATTGGCTTAAATTGGTTGTTTATTAATCAAGCTTGTAATGTGATTCATTTATGGATGCAAGAAGCGACTTACAGTACAAGGACCTGTTCTTTGTAAACAGAAACAATAAAGAATGCTCATTTAACATTTGCCCTGCTTAGCATT